ACTCCTCCTTAAGAGTTACTCTGAAAACAACCTTCATAAAGGGCAACCAGTGGAATTTGGATTCTCTGGGGTAAAGCAAAACCAAGCAACGAGAGGTCATTTCTTAATCCCAAATGATCTCTATTGTTTACTCATTGAATTCTTTTTTCTAATAACACTAAAAACAACATATACTATCTTGATCATCTTGATGTGCCCTAACTTTTATTAATTTGGCTTTGATTTTTGACAGTCTCTTTCCTATATTTTCTAATATTTTAAGGAAATAGTCAACTTGAGAAAATATATTAATGAGACTGCCTATCATTGGACAACTGCTTATTTCTAATTTCTGCTGCACTTTCTTTACAGAACTCAGGAGGAAAGGGTAAATGATGTTCTCTTTCAATCAGGTACATCTTGCAAGCCAGAGTTGATATGTGTGAAATGTCCAGAAGCCTTATGATCCACAGTTGCATGTACACTTGACTGAGCTGAATGGGAAAAGTCAAAACCACAACCTTTAGATTGCTTCATTTGGTGTTTCACCCTCACAGAACTCAAAGTTTAAAGAGACGAATATGTAGAGAATAAGAAACTATCCACTCGTCTAATGACAGAACCTCAAGGGTCTGAAGAAATGGCTCAGCAGTTAAGAGCACTTTCTGCTCTTACAGAAGACCTGGGTTTGATTGCAAGACCCACATGGAGGGTAACAACGGTCTATAACTCCAGTTCCAGGGAATCTGATACCCTCTTCTGGTCTCCACTCATGTGGTGCTCTTAGATTCATGCAGGCATAATACTCATACACGTAAAATATAATAAACAATTATTAAAATAATAATAAAAATAATAATAGAACTCAGAATCATTATGCGTATGTTCAAGAAAAGTTCTGCCCGAGAATTGTTAAGCATGGAAGATTATAAAATGCTCATCTTCAAGTAAATACTGTCTCTCCCCCTTTTCTCCCTGTCTACCTCTCTCACAGCTTTGTGAGACTCTCACAAAGGCACAACTAGGACCAAGCAAGCACTGAACCATGGAGCTCTAACCCTAGATCCTAGATCCCAGTCTTAACCTAAATTAACAGAAAATGATTGACCTGGCCTAATATGCTTTGACTAAATAATAATTTGTAACAAATTAAAATCTTTTGGTACTATATGCAATTATAAAAATATGAATTCTGAAAATTAAAAGTTAGTTTACTTAGTTTAGTAAACCAGGCCTATAATCTATTCCTGTTTTATCACTACAGTGTTCAAGTTCTATTCATTTACAACCTCTTATACAATAACTAATGTAACAGCAAATAAGTAAAATTAACATTTTCACTTCTCCATTTTATTAAGGTTAATGCCATATTTACATAAAAACTTAATTTTGAATAATAGGGCTCAAACTGTCTTTGCCATCACTTAATGTAGAAAAGTACAAGCAGTATGTTTTAGCATTTATAAAAAAAAAAACTTAGCAGTCACAGCTGACTAGAGAGAATGCTCAAACATCCCTTAGAATGTGGATAATACAATTCAATATAAATATTATACATTGTATCAGCCAGATAGAAAACAAAAATCAACAAAATGCTATTGCTTTCTGTTCCTCATGAAACCATTTAATCACTTGGGCTCTAAATGCCTTTCTTATCCATGTACAGAAATCACACATGCCTTACAACTAAGGAAAATATTATTGTAGAAAAGGTAATGTGATGTGTATTAAGATTTAAAATTGCTTCCAAGAGCCAAAGATAATGCACTTAAGAAATACCATCTAAAAGGCACATAAATTAGAAATTTATCATGACAATAACATTTTTCTCACCTTGAAGTCATTTAATTTCTGGTTCAGTTTTGATCTTCTGACATCATTATTTCGATGCCCCCAAACTACATTCATGGGCTCTTTAAAACTGTCCAAGAAATGTAGCAGAGAGGGAAAAATTGGCTTATTTAAGAATGAATAATTTAAAATAGGCCTAAAAGCAGTCTGTGAAACCTAAAACGGAATGTCCTCTGAGCTTTCAACATAAAAGGATAAAAATGTAAATTAAGTTGTATCAACATTTATTTCTAATTGTTCAGCTGAATTTTCAAGCCCAGGTCGTGCTATCTACTCACATATACCGAATGGGATTTCCTACGTTATACAGGTGTTGCTGTGAAAACAGGTATAGATTTAGCTGAGTGTACACAATTAGGTTGTCACAGGAAAGTATGAAAACTAAGTGGCTTTTCCAAGATCCTGGTGTGAGAGGGGCTGTTACATCTGATCAAACGCTGGCCCTGCCTTACAGTACCACAGGCATTCCACTTAAGCCTGTGACTCCATTTCTATGCAACACATGGTGCTATAACTATGTTACTCTATATACACAGTAGGCCCTCAATAAAAGCTACTAGGATGTTAGAGTGACTGTTTCACATACCCATTGGAGGGAGGCTTACCACTTACCAAATGAATGACAAATAAAGGGGTCACATTTTAATCTCTGAAGCTTTAGTTCTCTTAGTTGAAAAACAGAGGATGCTAATGGTCATATTCCAGGTAGTTGTGAAAATCTGAAGTAAATATATGACACTTTTAGCTGAATCATAACCATATAGTAAGTGATTGATAAATTCTGTCTACCATGCTTACCAAGATATGCGGGAGAGCTAATAGACTCCTCCTCTATACTAGATCGACTGTCCATTTTTACAGAAATGTTCTAATTTCAACCCTGACAGTGTTGCATGTTCCTGGAAAACTGAAGCCTTTAGCTGTAAAACTATTTAAGCTAGAAATCATCAAAAATAAACTCCGACAAAGGAGATTCTTGGTTTCTATGGTCAGCCATGAATACTATAGGCTCAAGTACTCACAATACTCTAAACTCTCCCATATTATAAATTAAAAAAGAGGGCCTACGGGTCAGTGCAATGGGATTTCTATGCAGTAAATGTGGCTTTCTTTTTTGACCTCCCATCTGACTTTGAAGAAATTTCGAACTTTATTTTTTTGAGGGGGGTGACTTTGAAGGCCACTGTTGGTGGTTGAACTCCACTGCCTTAAATCGCAGCTTATTTTTTTGCTGCATAAATATTGCAATGTGCCTCTTTTGTTGATTCCAGTTCCATGATCTTTTCTATTAGGGATATCTATATTCTGTCTGAAAAGCTTGACAGGGTGACAGCACCTCTCCGTCAGGGCCTACTACCTTACAAAACTGTTAACATTTTGTCACGGTCTGAGCAAGGTCATAAATTCATACTCATCATACAGACTTCAAGAACTATTGCTTTGATTAGTCAACTATGGCTTTGTGTTAATAGTACCATATACAGAAGAGTTGTAATTAACTGCTATTCTCTGTCTTTTAATTAATAAATTAGGTCATGACCAATTTCCAATAGAAAACTGAAAGAATTTTGCCACAGTAACCTTCCAAAAAAAGTTAAATTTTCTGAATTTAAGAAAAAATGCATTATTTCTCTAATACTGAATAAAAACTTGAGTCTGATACTTGAATTAAAAGCACAAGATGGTCATGAGGTTTTGGAAATAAAGTCCCATCCTGATCTCATTGAGTAGCATTTAATTTGAGTTACTACTCATTGCTAGTATGTCAAAATCATGACAGAATATGTATCTTATGTGCCTGGAGTTTAATTTGCTTTTAGTAAGGTCAGACTAAAATAAATATTTGAATTTCCCATACTAAGATCCACAACATATCCTAATATTAAGAGCTAAGAATAATACATTTGGGGTTTGGGATTATTAAACCAGATACATCAAAGTATAGTCTAAGAAAGTGAAAGAATAAGAGACCTTATTTGTAAAAGGAAAGGGGGAAATAGATTTTTATTTATTAGCTTTTATTTTATTATTTTTATTTTGTGTCTATATGTGTGAGCCTGAATGTATATATGTGCACAACGTGAATGCAGGTATTCACTGAGGCCAAAAGATGGTGTAAGGTCCCCTGGAACTGGAGATACAGGTGGATGTGAGCTGCCAGATGTGGATGCTGGAAATCAAGTTCAGTTCTATACAAGACCAGCAAGGGCTCTTATCTGCTTAACCATCACTCAAGCCCAAAGGGCAGCTACCTTAAATAAAGATGGTGCTGTTGTCAGAACTAGTTTGGAGGGTTACTAAGATAAACAAAAACTCAATCTGCTTTCAAATATTCAATAAACGTATCTGCATTAAGCTATATACTTCAAGTACTATTAAAAACTATTATACTCATCTACACACTCATATTCAACTGTTTAATTATCAGGCTAAATAAAATTCTGAATATGAAATGATGTAGGCAATAGCAGAGGCTAGGGTGAAGCTGACACTCACTTGAAACTTGTTGCAATGATAAACCATGAACCAAAACACAAGGAAGAGGTCAGGAATGTCAGGAGTGGGCTGGATCAGTTCTAGTTACTGTATTTCTCAGAAAGATAGGATTCATATTAAAACAATATTGAAGCCTAGAGATCTAATATTTAGGTAGCTGCTTTAAGCATGCCTGGTCACAGCAGAAATTGGCGAGTTCAGTAAGTTTACTGTCCTCTGCACAGTAGGATGCAGAAAATTTCCATTGTGCATATCAGAGTGGGCATGAGAGAAGGTCAGAATAAAATCCTTTATCTTTTAGAACGGGGAAATGGAAACAAACGAACAAAAACCACAGGAACAAATAAAGAGTATGTCATGAATTCTTATAATAAAATATAATCTCAGTGTACAAAATGTACCATTGATTTTCAAGAAAAATTGTTTTAGTTATCTTTGTTGATCAATGAATTTCATATCGATACTACTCTTAGTTTTAAAACAATATTTTCCTCTTTATACAAACTTTGTATATTAAATATGAAAGGATGAATGAGTGGGCTGCAAAATCACTTCAGACAAATAGCTACCTGTTAAATAATACTGGCCATTATTTCAATAAATACAATATATAACTCTTGCATATTATAAAAGTAATAGTATGAAATGATCAAAAAGTTAACATTAATATTTACCTTTGGTGGAAGAGCTATATTTTTCTTGGTCTTCAATGAATTAAATGCACATAACGATGGAAACAAAAGAAAGAAATCAGCAAATTTATAGTTAGACATGGAAATGTGAATCAACGTAAGGGCATGAATAATAAAAATGCATAACACATAATGTGATGTGGCAAACTGCAGTGATAAACCATGAAAAAGTTTCATATATGGAACTAAAATCAATTTAGGAATGAATACAACAATTTAAAGATTTAAACAAAAGAAAAATATTAAGAAAAGAACTTGTCTGATATTTCAGAAGCATCTTCCTCCATACTTTTCTTGCTTTCTTAGAACTGTATATTTGAGCAACAACTTTACTAAAACATTTTAATTATGTCCATCAACTTAAATCTTACACTTAATTTTCATAAATTTTTAATTGTAGCAATGCTATCCTGTATGATTTGAAATATCAAATGATTAATCCCACTTTTTACTCAATGAAAGAAGCTTTATCTATAGTATGGAAATTACCCTGCAGCATTTTCCGCATAAAAAAATCCATATTTAGGTAACCCTTTCTTCTTCAAATTAATTATAGTAAAATATCTGAAGGCAAAATTACTTTTATTTTACATATTGGATTTCTTAGATATTTAATAAAATTTTGTATCAACCTCCTTGCTGGTACATTACTCAATGAAAATTAACAATCTGTCTAAATATTTCTGTAGGGTGTTTTCAGTAGGGTTCCAGTTTTTAAGCAGTACATACAGTAACCGAATACATTAAACAACTGACATGCTATTAAATATTAATATGTGAATGATCTTTAAATGCTTCATTAAGAGGTATCCAGTTAAGCACAAGAAAGATCTGATTTGTTTTGGCCTTTTTAAGACAGGGTCTCCCTGTACTCCCAGCTGGCCTGGAACTCACTACGTAGACCAGGCTGGCCTTGACGTCACAGAGATCTGCCTGCCTCTGCTTCCCAAGTGCTGGGATTAAAGGCATGAGCCACCATGCCTGGCCCTGATTTGAGTTTTAAAAATACATATTTTTATACAGTCAGCTATTGTTGCCTTTATCCTCATTCTATGTAAGAACAGCACTAAACTGCATACGATATTGAAATACAATCAAAGAAATTTCATGCATGGCTCTGCTTTCAATCTTTAGAGTAATCTAAATTATTTATGATATTTTTATTTGTTTTTATCTGAAATATGGACTATAATCACCCTTTCTGTCTTTCCTGCCTATTTTTACATAATCAGACTTGATGTAATAAATAGGCTAAAATTTGAAACTGTTAAAGGAAACTTAGAAGCACCTTTTCAAATATTAAATAAGTGTATATTTTGAAATGATGTTAGTCTTTAAAAATGGAAATTTGGCTTTTATTGTATATAATGTGCAGTAAATCTAATGTGCAAAAATCAAAAAACAATGTATCAAGTCACATAATCAAACTGTCTTGTTATGCAACCTTGAAACAATAATGTACATAACTATATAATAAAGCTGTACAAATGAAATTATTTTATGATTCTGTCAACAAACTGTATCACTTTCTAGGAAACTAAACCATTTGAAACACATGTTCTTACCAATCAGTGGTTTATCAATTGATTTATATTTTTAACAAAATAGTAAGCCAAACGTTATAAAACATTAGATAACCAGATGGAAGTCAAGTAAAGCAAGAGCTTAAACCATCACAAACTATATTCAATATTAATTTCCATAGGATATGGAATTAGAGTTTAACAAACACTATCAGAAGGAAAATTAATGACATAATTCTATCGCCTTAAGAAGAGTGAAATTCATGTTAAATAAAATATATTAAATGTTGTCTAGCTCATAGTTTATTATGTCCGAGAATACTGTAAGACAAACATATCTGTTATGTGAACTGTTGTATATGACACAGATTCATAACAAGATGATGGCAGCAGAATTTTCATTTACCCAAAGTCCCAAAGTACATATTAACATCACAAAGTACACCACCAAATACCTAGATCTTGTTGTAACTGATGACTGTTACATCTTTAAAAAAATTTCTATGTATTTTTTAAGAACATAGAGTTTCAGGAACATTCAGTGTCTGAAAGATTTAGCTAATGTATTTATAATAATAAATATCAAAGTAACTCCAACAGTGTCATTCCCATTCAGTCCCTTCTTCCCACCTCAATTCAACCTTTACAGATTGATGATTTCTCTGAAAGACAACTGTGAATATAAGTATTATAAGCATAATATTGACATTAACAATGGAACATGAATTAAAAAAATAAGTATACAGTGAATTGATTTTGCAAAAGCACCATTAACTGTAATCTTAGATGTGGTGTGTACCTTCATATGCAATGGAACATTGTACTTGCAACTGGAGGAAATGCAAAGAATTTAAGAAGCTCATAACTTGCTGAGTATCTGTGACCAGTGACACTGAGTTTGCAGCAAAACATCAAATTCTATAGTTTGTTCAGTTGTGCAACAAGAGTTCATATACGGATAACCTAAACACCAGCATTCATTTATAAAATAAATATATATACAACTTTCAAAATGGTTATTTCTAAAGATAGTTTAAATAGCATTAATTTGTAGAAATCCTCTCAAAATGTTCCCAGAGAAAGAAAGCTTATTAGAAATGTGGATTCTATCAACATTACCTGAGAATTTAGAAAAGAATTTTACAAAGATTGCATTTTTCCTGATAGACTAAATGGATACACGTATCATATCCCTGAACACTAAAGCATGTTATACCAAAAGGAAATGTGATTTAAAAACCCAAATCAAGCTTTTATAGCACCTTTTACAGTAATGAATTAGCATGTCACCATCACTTTTTAATACTCATATTTCTATTATCAACTCGTTTGCCTAGTAAAATAGGTAATTTCAATCTTTGAACCAATGCATTTATTTCCTTATATTAACATTTCATTTCAGAGGTATATTCAATAAAGCACATCAACCGAGTGAGGAAAAGATACCCAGTATCCTCAACATGGGAGGAATGCAAGTTTTACAGCAGGAAAAACAACACTGTTAAAATAAGTATTCAGAATGTTAACCTTCAAAGTATGTCATGAGGATGAAGATTTCGAATGCATGTTTGAAGGTGTCCATTTTACTTTCACTACAATCCTTAATCAGAAAAAATTACAGCAATTCAACACATCAGTAATAAATGTGTTAGGATATATTGATAAATCATTTACCAATAAGAAATGGTTCATATGAAAATACTATTTTAGCCCAATATTTTAAACAGTTAGTTCAGATAGTTTAATCTTGGTTTCTGCTATCAAATCACACCCATACAAACACACACAAGTATATACACACGTTCTCATTCTCTCAGGAAAATAAAACAAAGTAAGGGAAATATAAACAACATGCCTTGTTCAAAATGACAAGTAGGTTTTCTGAGTAATTTTGCCATCATCAAAATTATATAATATTCAAGATATTGTCAATGAAGCTAAAATTAAAAAGACATCAAATATGTTTTAAATAAGTTTTTTAAATAAGGTAAAGTGTTTTTCCATAAATAAAATCCAGAGAGTACTGAATTTTTTTAAATTGATGTAGTCTACATTTATGACTTTGTAAAACTGTTCAGTACTACCCAGTCTGTTTGAATTAACTCATTCACTCAATCAATAATCACTGAATATGTGCCATGGACCACTACAAACGGGTGCTGGGCATAAGATTATAAGACCATTAGATTCTTAGAATTCAGAAAACTACATTTAATATAAACAGTATTCATTTACTTAACAGAAGTATAAAAGGAGAAATTTCAAATCCAAGGTGTTTGGACAAAGATGGCTCTTTATTGGATACCTTGTTCTATAGAGCCGCTCCGTACTGGCACCTGTGGGAGCTGTCTTCCCCTGCGACTGCTGAAGGATGTGTCTGCTGGAGGAGACTGGGTTGGGCTTCCTTGTCGGTGCATTCTGCAGGCAAACAGCAAAGGGAGGATGAAATTCTAACACAGCCTGATAAAGTCTTTTACTTTTCCCGTTCCTATTAAAACAGGAATAACACACTAATTGGGACATTGGTAGCAAAACTGAATACGTTGAATGACAAAAAAATACTCTTAGGAGGCTGGAAAGAGGCAGGTCAGGGTCTGCCATAGCCATTCTGCATGCGTTCTTGAATTATGCAGAACGTGGCTCACTTTTCACTAGCTTTCTATGAGGCCGTGTTTTTAGTCATTTATTTGTGGTCATACTGTGATAAAACTAACCACAGTATCTGGATCTCAAAAATTAGTTATGAAGGCCTGTTGCCAAACTGCTATGAACAAACTGTATACAGAATTATTTGTAACTAGTAAGAATGAATTGTTGTCCCAGAGACTTTCAATAGGTACCTATCTCTTGTACCTTATTTTTAAATGGAAAAAATACCTCAAAGGTATTGTAAACAACCCTGACACATGCTATGCAATATACTAATGTAAGGATTGAAATTACAGATAGAATGTAAGAAGCATGCAGCTACTTTGCTCCTGCCCAGATTAAGCTGGCTTCCATCTGCCGGCATGCAAATATTTTGTAACTGAAGAAATTTTAAACGTCCTAACATTTTATGAACACATGTAAAAGGTTATTTTCAAAATTCTCTTCTATTTTATAAACAATACTGCCATCACCAATGTAACTGATCATAAAGAATTTCACATAATAAATTATATATGAATATGCCACAAACAGATGAAAGGACAAACACAGCCAAATTTAATTTTCAATGGCAGCTAACTGGCAGGAACTATAGGATACCACCAGCACAGTGAAGATGCAGGCAATAGAGGATGTGGGAGAGGTTTAAGTGCCACAAAGAAAAGATTAAAAACTATGGTGTCATAATGAGTGAAAGCTTCAAGTGCTCAGGAAGGAACAACACCACACCAACACCCAGCGGCAGGACATGAATGCTGGGCTGGACACTGAATAGCAACCTTGTCAGAAGCGGAGAAGGTGGCGCCGACCCTCCAGGGGCAAGGTGGTGCATAGAACACAGGGTTCTGATACTAGAATGCTCGCTCGACCGTGAGCGAGCGGGATGTTTTCCCCTAATGACTGGTTGATCAGTCGCTCTTGGGATTGCGTATCCCCTTCTAGAAAGGCATGGTGAGAGAACCCTAAAACATTAGGGCCAAAAAAGATCTTCAGTCAGCAGGTTCACATTAACTTTATACCAACACATTTGTCCAAGGAAAATCAGGATACTCTTATAAGGCAGTGAGTTTTTAAAGAACCAGAAGAAAATTCATCACACAGTTACTGAAATGGAACAGTAGCCAAACTGACAAGTTCCTGTCATCAATGTTAATGTCTCAGTTTTAGAGGGCTAATCTATTAGTCTGTCTTAATAGTATTAACCGCTTACAAATTCTCCAAGGTCCAAGACTACAGTTCATTGTTGGTTACTGAGCTCTATGTCCAGTGCCTGAAATATTGCTGGCACAAAAAATCAATTTGTTGACTGAATGAGTGTAATTACCAGGATGAAAACTAGGATATTTCAGGTCTTTGTCTTCTATAAGTACGTGATCTAGAAATCTGTATATTTTTACAATGCCCTTAGCTCTACTGTGCAACAAGAAAGTCTATGGCAAATAGAAGGCAAAAAAAGAATGCCTCTTGAGCTTAATCTAAGTAGAGTAAAAAAAATATATCAGTTATATAATACCTTATTAATTTATACAACTGCTTAAGCACAAGTAGTTAATAAATGGGTAAAACATGTGCTGGTAGATTGGGCAGTTTTTAAAAAGCTCTTTGTCAATACAATGGAAGTTGTCCTCATAAGGAATTCAAAATTACTATGAAGAAATTTTCTGAATTAATTATTAAGTATTAAAATTGATACATATATACATATAAATAAAATGGATGAACGTTTTGCCATTTTCATCATTTTAGTATTATTTTAAATAAAATGCATGATTGAAATATGTATTATGTATGACCTTGACAGACGGAGTGTAATAACATCTTATCCTCTTAAACAACAGTGGAACATTTACTTATTATATGTCTTCAAGTGCAAGAAGAATCCATACTGAATACAAAAACATTTATGAGTGTTTTCTAGTCAGTTTTTACTTTACTTGATTTTATTTCCATTTAGTAAAATAATTTTCACCACTAGACTGATTTTTGCTTCACATTGTGTCTTCCATTTCAGAACAACATAGAAGGAAAATGTCAGTTGGAAAAAAAAAAATGAGAGATCACAGCTTACATCTTTAACAAAGGTGAACTGTATTCTCTTGAGCTGTAAATTAAGGCTTTATCAGACCCCAATTCATGTCCTAAAGCTTCAACTCTCATTTCCATTTGCAACTTCAAATAAAAAGAAACTACCACATTCCACCTATTCGAAAAGCTCACTCATTCTGAGTTGAGTTGACTTTCACACTAACTTAAGTGTGCAAACTAATTGAAATGGGAAAAATTTATATACCCACGTATTTTCTAACAAAAGATGGTGTTTCATTTATTACTCTCTACAAGCCATTAGTCTGAGAATGAGTCTGTTCAATATACACGTTCTGGATGTGTTTTGAAAGTGAAATTGTAGAGTTTTCACACTAGTAATGAAGCAACTCTCAAACAGTACAGTTTCACTGTAATCTCGCTTCATTCCTTAATGAAATTTATAAGCACCTAAAAACAACTTAAATGTGACCACAGACATAATTTAAATAGAATTTATGCCTTACCCAACTAAATGGCAAAGATTATTACAATCAACTCCAGGAGCAAATAAATGGATACTATGTAGTTTTCAGAAAATGCAATTTAGGTGTCTATGTTTGAGCCACAGGGAGGCTAGGGGAGCTCGAAAAGAACCCAGTGTTTGAAGTGAAATATTTTGCACAGGATGTACTTTTTCCTTTACACAAAGAAACTGTCCACCTGTTCCAATAAAGAAAGAGTTCTTGCTACTAATCAGTCTATAATGACCATGATAGTGTAGAACAGTGGAGGTGGAAAGTCACTCTGCTTGAGCAAGAGAGAGAGGGATGTGGCAACAACCCTGAATTACAGGAGAGTGAAAATAAAGAACTTTAAAAGAAATGACCAAAGTGTCACAAAGGAGAGATAATGGAATCAAATATGGTTTGTTTTTGGCAAATGGAAAGGAGAATTGACAAGAAATCACAAGTTACGGCACTATGAAGTTGAAAGACTCAAGGCTGTTGAACATTGGTTGTTTTTAACGAAATGGAATGGGCTAAAAGGGCAAAGATATAAAAAGAATGAGAGCTAGAACAATCATGTTAGAGAATGGCACCAAGAATGGATGGTAAATACATGAAATAACATCTAAGAAATGTTCTTCACTGACAGTTAGTATGAGGCCATCTATACAAGCTAGGCTCTGAACTGATGTATGTGCATATACATGAGTGCATATGTCTATGTAAATACACATATATTTGTGATTTTTTGGTACTATACATCCTTACAAATATAATTAATACTATTTTATAAAATGGGAAGCAGAGATCATCCAATGACTTGCAAAAAGGCAATGAGATAAATGTTCTAGAGACAGGATCCATAGTCCAACAAGTCTGTCAGAGTCCGAGCGTTTTCTTTCCTGATAGGTGACATGGGATGTGATCTTTTTAATTTTATGCTAAGTACTTGAACTCAGCGCTTTAGACATGAAAGGGAGGCTGTCTCTCTCTCTCTTTCTTCTTCTTCTTCTTCTCCTCTCCTCCCTCCCTCCCTCCCCTCCTCCCTTCCTCCCCCCCTCCCTCCCTCCCTCTCCCTCTCTGTGATAATCAGTGGGACAGGATTTATTTCTATGTTATCAGATGAAATTGCAATAAAATATAAGTATGTATACAAATACTGAATTGTCTTACAGGACTTAAAAGAAAATCATGTTCTGTGAGTTTCTAAGATGAAAATGTGTGTAAAGTGGCATACAATGAGGATTCGTTTGGCCATGGCTGTGCTTACACATGGATATTCTGGCCCACCGTCTCTGAGTGTGTATCTAAATACTTACCAGTGGTTTAGTCCCTGCCTAAATTTTTTCACCCAGGACTACTGTTTTAAGTTGGTGCTAAATGTATTTCATATCAAAACTTTAGATCTTTGTCTAGATATTTCTATTGCTAATGGATTTGCAGAAAATTGTCTCGACTGAAGCTTAAAAACAGGGATCTGGAGTTTTTAAAGTTACTTGTTTAAAAAAGAAGAAAAAGAAGTGGGGGGGGCATACAGAGTATTTGTCTCCTTACAGCTTACAGACCTGCAGTTCTTTCCTCTTGTAACAACCCATCAGAAAGTGCACTTTTAGGCAGTTCTTAAAAGTCGTATAAGCAAAGCATCCAGCAGTGTATAGGTTTCACAAAAAAACAAAAGTCAATGTAGTAAAATGCAGAAATTATGCGAGCTTCTCTCACACCTTGACTCAAATGAAGGTGAAAAGCTAGATTCTCTCTTATTGGAGAACTTAAGAGGATATGCAGCAATGCTTAAAGTGGTTACACATAGAAGACAGAAATCAGTTTCGTTTGTCTTTTAGTAGTAGCAGGTCATCGAATACTTTAAAAATATTTTCTTGCAAGGCTATTCCCCAGGATTCCAAATTTGGTGTACACAAACTTAAAGTAATTTTAAAGAAAAATTTTCCTGAATTCAATGTATAGCTGAGAAATATGACTTGCATTTGGAAGTTGTTAACTCCCAATATTAAGAATCAGTGTTCAATCTGGGTACTGCCAAGGGTAGTGCCAACTAGCTATTCCATGACCTTGGGTTTGATTTCAGAGTTAACAAAGAAAAAAGTCAAAGAACATGAAAGGAAAGAAAGAGGAAAATAAAAAAGAAGCATTAGAACGAATGTGCAAAGCATTCACACTGTGACCTCAATTCACCTTGGCTTAGATGTCACCTCAGAGATTCTGCAGAAACAAGAGTTAATGCAACCTAGAACTTACAGGCCAATTCCTGTGTAAGCAGGTAGTCAACAGTTCTCTTAAAAATTAGGCATAAAATTTAGACTCCCACAAAAATCAATAAGCGCTTTCATTATAAACAAACAGAAACACACACATGAAAGCCTAGCGTTTTCTATTTAGCTGAAGTGAGAATGAAGGATGTGAAGGTGGAAACCCAACTGATATTAGTTCTTGACTACCTCCTACCTATCTGGTAGACCGTCATGCTTCACCTTCTTTCTCACAGTCCAATTTCTTTTCTAGTCACATTTTTTGGGGGTCTCCCTAGATCCTTATTCCATTGTACAGTACGTTCCATAAATTGCCTCTCTGTGGCCTGTTAGATAGGAATAAACTTCATCTCTCTTTATTTCTTTTAGAATTACATTTGTGTGTGTGTGTGTGTGTGTGTGTGTGTGTGTGTGTGTGTAAATATATGTGCAGGTCAAAGGACAAGTTAACAAAAGCTGATTCTCCTTTTCCACCACTGGGTTTCAGGAACTGAATTCATGGGACTTGCTGGCAATCATCTTACCTGCCCTGTGTAGGCCCTCATCATCATTTTAACAAATCTTTTACTATTTCTCTTTTCTCAATTTTCAGAATTCAACTTGGTAATATCTTCTTAAAATGGACTTTATTTTTGTTTCTCTGTATTTTATTCATTAAACTAGAACTCAGTGTGGCACATATTTATGAACTGAATCAAACACTAAGCTTCCAGGCTTAGTTGTGCCCTAGCCTACAGCAGTAGTTTCTTGGGTAGCTTCATCCACCCTTTGGCCCTTTGATGCACCTTCTAAATTGTTTCAAAGTTGCCTATAATTTTGAAACTCAAGATCAATTATCCACTTTCCCATGTTTACACAATAACAGTATTTCATAAATATATTGAGATTCTGTAGCATGGCATTAACATGCCAGAATCGCATCATTCATGTCATTCATGTAAACTAAGCCTGATGTCATTAACCTTCAGCCTTTTTTTTTTCTTTTCCCATTCTCTGATGTCTACTCTCCATTCCAGGAGTGGTACTCAAACTCAAAATAATATTTCAATTTTAGTTGTTTTCTCACATTTTTCCCTTTCATGAAACACTCCTCATTGCAATCTTGTTTTATCTATTGGTTTAGCTCAGAAAAATCTGTCTACTGAATACTTTCAAATTCCATCACCACTCTGCTCATTTCTCTCTTTTCACTTGGCCTGTGAGCACCTCTCACATTCAAACACACCCATTCATCTGTGTCCCCATCCATGCTCTCAAGGATCCTCAGATAAACAGAGAGGTATTCATCTATACACATTATTTGGACTTTGTTTCTGTCCCAATGTCAAAGGAAGCATCAGTCTGTTGAACCTAAACATACTCAATCACTTTGTGGAATTGGAAGAACTGCAAAACAACAGCAATTCCTTACAACTCTTACATTAACATCGAAAATTATTATCTGTTGTAAAACTCAAGAATCATAGATTATATCTTTGCAGAAAAAAAGATTTATAAGTGAAGATGTCAGATATCTAACACACTCAAGACATTTTCATATGCCCAGTTACATTCATTAGAAACATTTAATCGAACTCAGAAACAAAATAACAAAGTTTTAATATATGCATAAGAATGGGTATGTATTTAATCCCCCGAATCAGAACGATCATAGGAAAATATATGGGGTTTTTTATTTGTTTGTTTTAAAAACACTATTATTTAAGGGCTGCCTATATAGTGCCTTTGTCTTATTTCTTCAGCATATTTTTTTCACATAGCAGTTGATTTATTTCCATGAGAGTCTTCAAAAATCACTGTTTGTGAACTGAATGGAGTGTTATGGCAGAGCCAGGGCATCCTGTGTCTATGTAAAACAAGACAGCAGCACAGCACGACAGCAAGCCTACCTGTCTGCATCAGAGGCAGTGCCTTTCCTAGTCTGTTTTTGGATGCTAGATCTTTCAGACTTTCTGGAGTGCCTGTGGAATGAAATGTTAAAGAAATACAAAATATATGATGAATAAAAGCTACATTCACAGCATACAATGATGAAAAACAACAGACATGAAAAATGACAACTAGTTCACCTAAATGGTTTTATCAGCACTTTCAGAATTAAAAAATCAAATCAAATCAAATCAAATCAAATCAAATCAAATCAAATCAAATCAGAATGGGTGCAGGGCGGCAGACAAAAGTTGCTGACAAGAGAGAGGAGAAGCTGTTATTTTACTAGCCTAATATATCTACAGTAATCATCTCCCATTGGCCCCTGCTGAGCAACTTTGCTTCCACCAATGAGTTTTTTAAAAATCAGCGATGAAGTGACCTGTGATAAATGCTACCATGGTAGCATTTATTTAGGTGCTGAAAGACCACAGAGAAGTGAAGCAGCTATTTTTTTTAAGTTGAAATTTTGTGCTCTAAAGGAATTTTGTTTGTTTTGAACCACAAACTATGAAGAGGAGAAAAACGACAGATGTTGACATGTGATATGAAAACATTTAAATCAATCATTCGGACTGCTTTTCAAGTTATCATAAAGAGGGCTTTGTAAATGTGGAGCAATTAAAACACTAATCACGCATGCTCAAACAAAAAATAAAGCCTCAAATTTTCCTTTCAAAATGTACTTATACACTTAACACCTGGAAATTAATGCATTTCCTCCTAAAAACCAAGTACATAGAGAAACAGAGACACTCCCTCCTCAACGCACTACTTACATATACCTATAGCCTAAATGCCTGAGTTATGTGTACATATATAATATACATTTGTATAGATAGAATATGTCACAGCCATATATGTAAGGCATATGAGCTGATTTTATAAACTACATATATACTTTAACTATTTTGAAATAAGCAAATATCTATCATCACATTGTTCCTGTCTATAAACTCTTATTTTAAAATATAATATCCATAAGAATAAGTATTTTTGTGTTATTATTGAATCATTAAAATGTATGCATTGTCCAATATGCCTTTCTTCAAACATCATAGAGGCAGAAATCTGTCATTATCACTTCAGGCATCTTAATTACACATACTGTAAATACGACACTCTTGGGTACTAGAAATGCACATCAAAGAACACGATCTACTTTCATGGGTGTAGACTTCATGGCTGCCCCCCCCCACTTCTCCCAGCCATGTTTACACTGTCTCACTCCTCCAATACAATTCAAACCACGTGTTCTTCATCCTCTTATTTTTCTGATATGGAGTTTCTGATATGAGAAAAAAGATGAAAGATAGGAGGAAGTCCTACCCTGCTTACTAGGTTAGTTTCCCTTACTAGTTTCAAAAGAGGTTACTGGATACTTGAAAAATAGTTCCATACCAGTCACGAAGAACGTAAAATTTTTCTTATTTCCATGACAAACCTTTAAAGGTATCATCTCTATTATCTCCATTGCACAGGTGACAAAATGTGCTTAGCACCACTCCAATGACTCAGAAAGGGGAAAAGAAAATGTAAGACCATTTGGCTCCTAAGCTGTTTATGGTATACCTTGTCCAGAAAGGAATGTAGGAGGTAAATTTTGGCACTGACCTGTAAGAACACCCTTACTCTAGAAGGGAAAAAGCAATGAATATTCCACGGTGTATGCATTGGAAAGCCAAGAGATGGATAACAAAAATAGTTAAAATGGGCAAAGAGGATGGAAAGTTGGGGCTAAGGGATGGATGGCACAAATTGCAACTATGTAGCGTAGTCAGGGAAAGAACATTGAGATGATGAAATTTTATAAAATCTTAAGTGTGTGTGTGTGTGTGTGTGTGTGTGTGTGTGTGTGTACACATCTTCCAAACATGTATCACATCATCACTAAGGAGATGTGGGTAACCCGTAAGTCAGGTGTGTACTTGGTTAGCTCATGGGTCAGAAAAGCAGCCAGCACAACATGATTTGAAACTGAAAAGATGGGAAAAGTTTAAGGGGGATATAGAACATGGTAAGCCTTTGAACAGACTTTGTCACTGCACCAATAAAAGGTTCTAGGCATCTTTTAGAATTTGCCTGTTTATCTTTCTGTTCCTTGTAAAATTTATTAAGTTTTCTATACTGAGCTGAGATTGCACCTTCTCTGTGAAGTTTTCCAACTCTTCTTCCTCTTCTCATCTCCTAAAACTAAATGGTTTCACACAGACGATTGCTTACGATGCTGTCAATGGTGCCAACAATGCTAACCACATCTAATATCAGTGAAGGCCTACTTCAATGCTCACCTGACCTTTCTGCTTACATCATGTTACTTAATATGACCAATTCAAAAAGGAGGGAACGTTCTTCTATCCTTTTTAAAAATATGAAGAGTGCAGCTTAGAAAGGTTAGCTTACTTGATATTAGGAGTCATTAATGTCAAGTCACAAGGTAAACAGAGAGTCTATGATCTCAGCAGCAGTAATTACATTTCATTTCTGGCATAAATTAACAAAAGCACAGTGACCCAAAGTATGGGTTATAGAGCCAGTTTGGATTTCATCTCAGCTCTGTTTCTGGTTAGCTGAGTGACTTTACTCAAGGTACTTGACTTCTCTGAACCTCATTTGCTTCTACCCATCAAAGTTGCAATTATAATACTATCACCCCAAAGGTTTGCTAATTCTAAATACTTTAGTGTTGCTCAGTATTTGGACTGTAGTATTTGTATTTCTGTATTATTGCAGAAATCTGGAATTTGTAATGGTTTCAGCATTCCAAACACCATAAAGTGGTAAATGCAACAAGTAAATTATTTTAAAGGAAAATAACATTTACTTGCTTCTGAATATACATAACTTGATAAAGGTTCATTAAAAGGTTCAGACATGTACCTTTTGTTTGATGATTTTAACCTTTCAATTAAAGAGACTGTTTTCCTCCTCAAAAGCCACTGTAATTTTCATTAAAAATTCTTCTAATGATACCTATAAGGTATATCATTATAATTCTTGTGGCCTCTTGAAAACAATTCTTAGAGTTAAAAATGATGCACACAAAAATAATAAAAAAAATAGCAGCAGGAACTGAGAAGAAATAAAATTTGTAATGTTTTTTCTTGATCCACAATCTATACAGAGATTGTACGATTTAAGCACAATTATCTTTTCGAATACATAGAGGCTTGAGGCATACACAATAGAAAGGTTAGAATAACCTGTCTATATTCATGTACTATGTCATCAAAATTATGGATAGGGTAAGCACAAAACTGGTCACAGGGAATGAAATTACTTCATGTCTTTCATTAGTCTTCACAAAGTTCTTTTGTCAAGATCTTAGTCTACTGGGTTACTGCTAACATTAGCACTTAATACATAGTTCAACAATTGTGAGATAAGTATTTGTTGAATGCACTGTTTAAAAACTGCATCACATATGACAAAATTTCATGTTTAATGGCTAACGGGTTCTATTATCTATAGGTATCATACTTTATCTATCTGCTGGATGACACTAGGTTGTTTCCATTTTTGGTCATTGTCAACAGTGAATCACCATCATGGACCAGAATCTTGGGGGAATGGGAAAGTAAATCAAAAAGAACTAATGAATAGTTTGATAGTTTAAGAAGTGGGCTGTGTTATTGAACAGTACAGTGGATACAGACAGTAACACAAGGTACACTTCTAAAATATGGAAAAGGGTATTCAGAAAATCTTCACTATATAAATAGTGTTTGAGGGAAAAGACACATTAACTTTGATTTTCACACTGTGCAATGTATGCTTGTAGGCAAAATTACATGTATATGATACCAATATATACATACTATATTTATGCTTATCCTAGAAGAATTTGATAGTCAAAAATTACACTGAGAAAAATAGTAACTTTGGATATATGACGCAGTTTACATTAATTAAGAATAGTAATAAACCCGCATTGTTCCTAGGCTCTTAGCAAAACAGAAGATGCCATAAATAAGGCAAGACTTCCAGTGTATTACTGTTTTGTGCATAAGGAACTGCCAGTCATGTTAGGGGCTCAAATTATGTTTTATCATAATGGGGCAAGGCAACTCAGACTCAGTTTTAGAGGCCAATGGGTCATGAAAATTCAGCAAGTTAATCTACAAGTAGCTAAATTTACAAACGAGGAAACTGAATGTTAGAAAATTTCAAGCAACTTAGTCTATTTGCCCTATGACATCACCATGATGTCCTAATGTAATTCAGTTCTCTGGCATTAAAATATATGAATATATGCATACATATTTATTTTAAAACATTTTATTATTCATAATGTTTCTATGGTTCAAAAATAATATCAAAATTCCCTATTTTTCCTGTATTTCAGGCTTAATAGTTCTATGATTTGGGGTTTGTGATTACTCAAAAACACAAAATTCTACAACTACCATAGGTCAGGTGTGAAGTTACTTAAAAGTTATAAAGGTATCTTGAAATGTAAACAAGTAATTATCTTATTATTTATTTGAAGCAAATGAAGCGATTAGAAAACTAAGCTATCTCTAAATCTACTATTTTGAAATTCTGTTTACAATGTTATAGCTTATCATCAATATTTTTAAGTGTAATAAAAATAGGTAATAATTAAGATCTATTTCTTGGATACTTCCCTTTCTCACCAATAAGTATTTTTAATTCAAGACATTCGTTAAAGATCTTGGTAACTAAAGATTTTTCAAAAAATTTAAGAAACTATTAAATATAAAACTAAAATTTGGACTGGAGACATGGCTCAGCAATTAAGAGCACTTAAAGAAGACCAGGGTTTAGTACCCAGCAGTCACATATTAGCTAATAACTGTCCGTAACTCCAGTTCTGACCAAAGCCCTCTTCTGACCTCCAAGGGCATTATATGACACAGGTGCACCTACACACATGCAGACAATACAGTCATGCACATAAAGTATTATTTAAAAAAAACTAAAATGTTGAAATACTAAGACTATTTTATTAGAAATGTGACACTGTATACCATGTTCTGCTTTGGAAAAAGGATAACAGAAATCTACCATAGAGTGTTTTTGTTTATTTAGAACACTAATATTAAAAGAATGTATCTTGGTGTGCTCATGTTCAGCATTTTTATGGCTTTCCTTATCTTAATATGGAATTCATATTTCCACCATCTCATTTCCTCGTAAGTTTGGGAAAAAATAAACTCAAGTAAAATTATAACGGACAAAATACTAAAGACGGATGTATGCAACTAAGACCCATTTACTTTTTATATATCATTGATTTTCACGTATATGAATGTAAGTACTATACAGACTAAGTATTTTAGTATATGGTATTCCGATAATTCAAATAAAGAACAATTTATGACAGGCGCAGATGGCAAAGCAGGTGGAAAATAAAATAAATGAAAGCACATTTTACTAATATGGTCCTATACTAGCTTTACATACATATGGCATTTATGAGTAAAAAATGAAGGATTTTCTCATTCCATAAGAATATTCAGTGGAAACCACTTGTTTTGAATAAAAGTGACCACTTGATATGATAGGTCAGGTATTCTTGAAGATAATTATCTCCCACTAAATAAAAGGAATGGAGAGGTAAAAGAGGTGATCTAGCAGGAAAACTCGAGAATAAGCATTAAGCCCGGTTTGTGTGTGTGTGTGTGTGTGTGTGTGTGTGTGTGTGTGTGTGTGTGTGTGCTGTACATATTGGAGTAAATTCCTAGAAAATAGGGTGATTTAATTAAATCTTTTCAATAAATGAGTCACGCTCCACTAAGTGGCACCTAAATTCTATCAGGTATACTGAACAAAATCATCGCCAACATGGGAACTAGGAACATTGTAGATTAGATACAGCTCCAAGTGTGCTCAATATGAATATTGCACTTCGTTTAGTAAAGCATTATTGAAGCAATTTAAAGTTCAACTAGATAACTGCAATAGTAATTTACACTGCCTTAATTTAAAGGAATAATTAAGGAATGAGCATTAAACTCAGAGTTTGGGTATTTCAGGAGCATATCAAAATGCTTTTAGTCCCCATAAATTGCTACATGCAGCTTTTAGTTAATTTTAAGATGCAAGATTTCACAATATAAACTCACAGGTTTATAAAACTGATATTTTCTGTATTAAAGTAATGGTATTGAAAGCAAAATTTGTGTTTTAAAAATAAAAATCCATTGTAAAATACTTTATACATACAAAAGGTTTCATATATACATATATATGTATATATACACATACTAAAATACAGAAATTTGGTGGGAGGGTAAAAGAAGATGCAGATATGGGAGAGAATCTAAATATATTGTATGCTAAGCTCTGAAGCTATAGCTCATTTCTATTTTGTTTAATGTCAGCTCAAGGATATTCATTGTGGCTGTAAGTTGAGTAATGTTCTGTGATTAAATCATCATTCTGTTTCAGCATAAATTCAAAGGTTTATCTTCTAAAGGGAAATTCTAAGTTCTTTCCTGGCCAGCATT